TGGGAAAGGAGGACATCCGGTCACCCTGCACATTGCAGAATTAATAGTTTGATACCACTTTAACTGCCATGGCTCTCATTGCATCTGCACTGCAGAATTAATGCAGCCCAACACTATGAAATTCTGGGATTTGTAGTTTTGTGAGATGTGTAGCCTTCTGTGCCAGACAGAGCTCTGGGGCCACTGCAAACTAGAGTGGGCCCTTTGTATATGCGGGGGATCCTTTCTGGACCCCTCTATGTATGGCAAAAATCGCGGGGCCTCAAGTCTTGTTGATTCCTATGGCCGCGTGTTTCCGTGTGCGGTGCAAAGTGCGCTCCATGTAAAATCCCTGGGCTTGCCATGCACAGAAGCTTCCATGCTCTGGAGTCATATGCTATTATTATTATTATTATTATTATTATTATTATTATCATCATCATCATATGCTACCATTCATCCAGGGAGGTACTAATCCATCCCTTGAATGTCTGTCTCCCCAGCAATCCTCAGGTGAGCAAACCCAGCCTTTGAAATTCTCCATCAAGGAGACCGAGTGCCGCTCCACAGAGACGTCCGACATCGCCCAGTGCAACTACAAGGAAAACGGGGTAAGGGTTCTCTTCTTGCGGGGAATGGCTGCCTTAGAATAGAACCAGAGTTGGAAGAGACCCCCAAGGGCCATCCAGTCCAACCCCATAATCTGCCATGCAGGAACTCCCAATCAAAGCACCCCTGACACATGGCCATCCGGCCTCTGCTTAAAAACCTCCAAAGAAGGGGCTCCACCAAAATCTCCGAGGGAGCAACGTCTTCCATTTTTCCTAATTTTTCTACAGGCCTTCACATCTCTAGTTCCACTATTGAAAAGCTCTTACTGTCAGGAAGTTCCTCCTAATGTTGAGATGGAATCTGTTTTCCTGTAGCTTCCATCCATTTCTCCATATTTCCTATTCTCTGGAGCAGCGGAAAACAAGCTTCCTCCATCCTCAATATGATGACATCCCTTCAAATATTTAAAGAACGCTATCCTATCCCCTCTTAACCATCTCTTCTCCAGGCTAAACATCCCCAGCTCCCTAAATCGTTCCTCATAGGGCTTCATGGTTCCCAGACCTTTTGGTCATTTTGGTCACCCTCCTCGGGACGTGTGTTGTATCTAATGTTGTCCCCCTCCTTCCTGGTGGCCATCCTTGTACTCTTCCTCCGCCTTGACCCATACCTTGTCTGCACTTGCCAGGGGCAGGCTGGGTACCCTGGTCCTGGTCCTGGGGTGGCCCCAATCCTCCTCCTCCGTTACAAAAGGCCGTCCATTTAGATGCCCAGGGGCTGTTTGAAACATGTCTCATGCCTGGAGCACCTGCTGATGCCATGGGTTGCTTTGTGCTGAGGTCAGAAGGAGATGTCCATCAACAATCCCATGGCTGACCCTAACCCTAACCCTAACCCTTGTTCTGACCTAATCCATCACCCTTTGCTCTGGATCTTCCAGATGGATCCAGGGATCTCTGTCCCATCTGCCATGGCCGGACATTGTGGCCTTTGCCCGCATCCCTTTACAATGCTCAGCGGAAGAGACGGTGCGAGTGGAGTAAGGCTCAGTGGGAGGAGCGATATACAGAGATGACAATTTAGGAGTAACATGAGCACGAAAAACACAGCTGAGGGCTCTGTATGGTCTGGTACAGGAGGAGGTCAATGGGGTTTGTGTGACCCCAATAGATGCTGCCAAGCCTTGTGAGGCCACTGTCCCTTGTGCTGAAAGCCTGCTTCTCCTCCGCTTGCTGACCGCTCTTCCTCTCTCCTTGGACAGGTGGACAAGGACTGCTCCGGCTTCTACTCCACTCAGCAAAGCCCACCGGCCATCATTGTCCAGTGCGAAGACGTGGAGCAAGAGGTACCTACCACCTTTGCCTTCTGTCTCTTCTCTTTGCCCCAGAGGTGGTCCAATGCCAGGGGTCTGGGGTGGGCATGGCCAGAGCTCTTCCCATCCCACCGCTGACCCCACGGGGGATAACCCTAAACGGCTGCCCCCTTCTTTGTACCCCCGTCTTAAAGGCTCTGCAGGGCCACCGGTTCCTCCAACCTGGAGGCAGAGGATTGGGGCCATGCCCAAGGTGATCAGGTGTCCTCCGCAAAGGAGGACAAGGCACTGCGAAATGTCGGACATTCAAGAAAAATGTAGGCCATTCCCAAATAAAAGCTGAAAACGCACATATAAATCCATGCTTCTTAGTCATGCTCAAAATGGAGGGCATTTTGGACATTCCTCCTGGACACAAGGCTGAAATATAGGGCATGTCCTGGAAAAGGAGGATGCCTGGCCACCCTGTCCATGCCAAGCTGCTGGACCTCAGCAAGTAATGGAAAGCCAATTGCGATTCCAAAGATAGCTTACAATGGGAAAGCACCAGGAGCTCTTAGATGAAAAAGGTATTAAAACCTGGAGGGTTATCCTGATGGGACAACATTTCCAACTTATGGTGACCCTAAGAGAACTCTATTATGGGTTTTTCTTGGCAGGTTTCTTCAGAGGAGGTTTGCTTTGCTTTTCCCTGAGTCTGAGAGAGTGTGACTTGCCCAAGGTCACCCAGTGGGTTTCCATGTCCGAGCTGGGAATCAAACCCTGCTGTCCAAAGTCTTATGTCCAGCGCTACATCACATTGGCATACGACTCTGGAGAGCAGGGTTCAAATCCCAACTCGGCCATGTACACCCCACTGAGTGATCTTGAGCAGGTCACACTCTCTCATCCTCAGAGGATGGCAATGGCAAAGCTCCCTCTGAACAAATCTTGCCAAGAAAAACAAGTGACAGGTTCATCTTAGGGCTGTGACAAACAAATTGAGGACATACAACAACAACGGCAACAACAACAACAAGGGGCCCCATATTTGGCAGAGAAGGCTAAAGTTCTTGCAAAAACTACAAATCCCAGGATGCCATAGGATGGAGCTAGAGCCCTTAAACTGGTGCCAAACTGCATTATTTAACCGTCTCTCTGTCTCTGTCTCTGTCTCTATCTAGGGACAGTATTACTACACACATAATAGTACATATTAATAATACATATCATGTATGTAATTACATACGTGATAGTATGGCCATTGAGAGAAATAAATTTGAATTAAACATAAGAAGGATAATCAAAAGTCATATAATATATAGATACCTGCATGTATATGCATGACTTCCACACATTCACATGCCAGATGGATGGACTTTATTAAAATAGAGAGAGACCAGGAATAGGAGTTTGCAGGAGCTGGACAGAGCTGGACAGTCGAGGGGCCTGGAGATCTCTCATCCAAAGGGTCAAGATTGACGCAAAGGCAATTAACCACAAATACAAATGTCCATGTAGATGTGTGAAGCTAGTGAAAATAAAGTGAAGAGTTTGGATAAGGCCCCTTACATCAAACAAAAGACAGGGATGGTTTTGGGAATAGACTCCACACTCCCATCCCTCGTAAGGAATTTTAGGTTCCAGGGTCCCTTTTTCGGAGTGAAAAAGGAGGCTATTCCACAGAAACATCGTAGAGCAGGAAGAACAGTCCTTAGGTAGACATATAATAGTCATCTTTTGGCAGAGGAGCTTTTTGTAGTTAATGAGGAAGACGAAGGATAATGCAAACATGAAAGGAAGGATGGAGAGTTGTTCATCATGAGGCTTGGGGCAAAATCCCCATTCGCAGTTG